TTTTTTTTTTCTTCTTCTGCTTCTTCTTCTTCTTCTTCTTCTTCTTCCTCTTCTTCTTCCTATTGGGCTACTCAAACTCTTGTTTTTCACTTATCTACTAGTAGGTAGTGCTCCGATTCTTCTATGAATGATCTCATGCTCAATACTTGTGATTTGGCCTAGTGTAGATCTTGCTTTTCACTCACACACTAGTAGGTGATGCTCCGATTCTTTCATGGATGATCTCATGCTTAATACTTGTGATTTGGCCTAGTGTACATCTTGCTTTTCACTCACATACTAGTAGGAGATCCTCCGATTCTTCCATGGATGATCTCTTGCTCAACTCTTGTGATATAGCCTAGTATAACTCTTGCATTTCACTCACACACTAGTAGGTGATGCTCCGATTCTTCCATGGATGATCTCTTGCTCAAATCTTGTGATATAACCTAGTGTAGATCTTGCATTTCACTCACACACTAGTAGGTGATGCTCCGATTCTTTCATGGATGATCTCATGCTCAATACTTGTGATTTGGCCTAGTGTAGATCTTGCTTTTGACTCACATGCCAGTAGGAGATCCTTCGATTCTTCCATGGATGATCTGTTGCTCAAATCTTGTGATACAGCCTAGTATAACTCTTGCATTTCACTCACAAACTAGTAGGTGATGCTCCGATTCTTCCATGGATGATCTCTTGCTGAAATCTTGTGATATAGCCTAGTGTAACTCTTGCATTTCACTCACACACTAGTAGGTGATGCTCCGATTCTTTCATGGATGATGTCATGCTCAAGACTTGTGATATAGCCTAGTATAACTCTTGCACTTCACTCACACACTAGTAGGTGATGCTCCGATTCTTTCATTGATGATCTCATGCTCAATACTTGTGATTTGGCCTAGTGTAGATCTTGCCTTTTCACTCACATACTAGCAAGTGATGCTCCGATTTTTCCATTGTTGATCTCTTGCTCAAATTTTGTGATATAGTGTAGTGTAACTCTTGTTTTTTTCCACTCATATGCTAGTGGGAGATGCTCCGATTCTTCTATGGATGATTTTATGATCAATCCTTGTGATTTGGGTTACTTCAACTCTTGCTTTCACTCCCATGCTAGTAGGAGATGCTCCGATTCTTCTATGGATGGTCGCATGCTCAATACTTGTGATTTGGTCTAATGTAAGTTTTGATTCTCACCCATATGCTAGTAGGAAATAATTTGATTCTTCCTTAAGTGATTTCGTGATCAAGACTTCTGCTTTGGGACTAGTCTAGCTTGTGCTTTCCACTCACATAGTAGATGATGACATTCCATTTCAAACTTGGTTGCATGCATGAGCCATGGGAATGTGTTTTGAGCAAGTCTCACTCACATACATGGCTCAACTCTCACATGATGATAGTCTATTTCAAACTTGGTTGCATACATGAGCCATGGGCAAGTGTTTGAGCAAGTCTCACTCACATACATGGCTCAACTCTCACATAATGATATCCCGGTTGTACTTTGCACTAGTTCAAACTTCTCATTGTCAAGTTGATGTGTGTTGTGATGTTCCGGTTCATACTTAATTGATCTCTCTTCTATGTGCATGTACTTTGTACTAGTTCAAACTTCTCATTGTCAAGTTCATGTGTGTTGTGATGTTCCGGTTCATACTTAGTTTGATCTCTCCTCTATGTGCATGTACTTTGCACTAGTTCAATCTTCTCATTATCAAGTTCATGTGTGTTGTGATGTTTCAGTTCACACTTAGTTGATCTCTCCTCCATGTGCATGTGCATTTTCACTAGTTCAAACTTCTCATTGTCAAGTGCATGTGTGATGTGATGTTCCTGTTCATACTTAGTTGATCTTTCCTCTGTGTGCATGTGCCTTTTCACTAGTTCAACCTCCTCATTGTCAAGTTCATGTGTGTTGTGATGTTCCGGTTCATACTCAGTTGATCTCTCCTCCATGTGCATGTATTTTGCAATAGTTCAAACTTCTCATTGTCATGTTCATGTGTGTTGTGATGTTCCGGTTCATACTTATTTGATCTCTCCTTTATGTGCATGTTTGCACTAGTTCAATCTTCTCATTATTAAGTTCATGTGTGTATTGATGTTCCGTATCATACTTAGTTGATCTCTCCTCCATGTGCATTATCTTTTCACTAGTTCAAATTTCTCATTGTCAAGTGCAAGTGTGATGTGGTGTTCCGGTTTATACTTAGTTGATCTTTCCTCTCTGTGCATGTGCCTTTTCACTTGTTCAACCTCCTCATTGTCAAGTTCATGTGTGTTCTGATGTTCCGGTTCATACTTAGTTGATCTCTCCTCCATGTGCAAGTGTCTTTCACTAGATCTAGCTTCTCATTGTCAAGTTCATGTGTGTTGTGATGTTCCGGTTCACACTTAGTTGATCTTTCTGCCATGTGCACGTGCCTTTCACTAGTTCAAACTTTTCATTGTCAAGTTCATGTGTGTAGTGATGTTCCGGTTCATACTTAGTTGACCTTTCCTCGATGTGCATGTGCCTTTCACTAGTTCAAACTTCTCATTGTCAAGTGCATGTGTGATGTGATGCTCCGGTTCATACTTAGTTGATCTTTCCTCTATGTGCTGGTGCCTTTTCACTAGTTCAATCTCCTCATTGTCAAGTTCATGTGTCTTGTGATATTCCGGTTGATCTTTCCTCCATGTGCATGTGTCTTTCACTGGTTCAAACTTCTCATTCCTCTATGTGCATGTACCTTTCACTAGTTCAATCTTCTCATTGTCAAGTTCATGTGTGTTGTGATGTTCCAGGTCGTAGTTAGTTGATCTTTCCTCCATGTGCATGTACTCTTCGTTAGTTCATTGTCAAGTTCATGTGTATTGAAGTGTTCCAATTCATACTTAGGTGATCTTTCACTATGGGATGGGTGACCAACATTTGGCTGCTACTACGGGGAGCTGATTTGATTAGGATTTGAAGTCTCTCTCTCTCTCTCTCTCTCTCTCTCTCTCTCTCTCTCTCTCTCTCTCTCTCTCTGACCGAGACATTGGCATTGCTCAAGGAAAGGGAAGTCATAGATCTGACTAGTAGGACAGGCGACAAGGTAAAGAAGGGGATTGAAAGTCTACATGAACGGGTGCACGGAGTCGACAACAAGATTAAAAGGGTGGAGAACGCGCTATTGGTTATGCAGGCGCAAGTATCCCGACCCGCCCTCCCTCCCCAGGAAGCCGTAGTTCCGCCAGGGGTAGCCAATCGAGGATTCGGACGGAGAGATCCTGCTAATAAGCAATGCAAGTACTGCACCGCGGTGGGACATTTTGTGCGCGCATGCCCAAAACTCAATCATGATATATTAAAAAGGAGATGTACTAGGTCATTAAAGACAAGTATTCGGGCCGCGGGGAGAACGGGTGAATTGGAACTCGCTAGGGGGGATGCGGCGAGTCATTATCATGACTAGAGATAGCGTTCATAGAGGCTGAGCCGGTGGTCGATATCATCTGGGATCAACTTCGGGGGCGCGGACCGCAGGTCAACTTCATTCTGGAAAACGACGAACGTGATAGGGTGAATGAGACTACTCGGCTAGGGACGGCTGGGAGAAGGATTATCCGTGATACCGTGATGGAGGAGGTCGTTGGAAGCTCCGTACCCCAGGCAGAGCCCGAGGCCGGGGAACCAGAGAAAGTCTATGGGAAGCCTAGGGAAGAGGAGCCTACAAACAAAATTACTGTTGTTGAAAAGAAGTTTAGGTATCAAATCCTGATCTTAACCATGCCTGAGATCGATGACACCCTTAGCAAATTACTAGGAACCATGGTGTCGGTGTCGTTTCAGACCATGCTGCAGGTCAGCCCTAGGTTGCTCAAAGGGCTTAGACAACTGTTGACTCGGCGGCGAGTAAAGATTGATGAAAACCCCGAATCATCGGAAGAGGAAAGAGAGGAGGAAGCTCCGCAAGAAGTCGCTAACCTTCAGAGGAGTCGCAGGGATTTGGAGGATCTCGAGAAAGCCTTTGCAGACATCCGCGTGAGTCTGCCAGACCGAGAAGATGGCGAGGTAATGAGGGCACCTCCCGGAACAAAGCTCAGCTTCCATGCGCTACCCGTAGGAAAGTTGAAAATCCTGATCGGGACTCATCATACCGACGCATTGGTGGACGGGGAAGCGGAAATCACTCTCATAAGGAGAGACTTCGCAACGATCACGGGCTGCACGGTGAACAAGGAAGTAACACGGAGCATCCGGGGAGCCGGTGGGGAAATTTCGTTTGTTGGGTATGTCAGAAAATGTGCGATCAAGGCAGGAGTCAGGGAGTCGATGTGGTCGTTTCAGCGGATGACCGTAATGGAGAAAATGGACCACGATATAATCCTCGGGAGACCATGGTGCGCAAACATAGAAATGATAGGCATGCACTTACACGATGGCACGTACATGGTAGACATAGAGGACCCAGTGACCGGCCGAGGCGAGCTCCTCCGACTCCTTGGGATGGGAGGAGACCCTTCGAAGGGGAAGTTAGCAACATGGTCACCATCATTCGAAGATTGCGCGCGGAAGGGGGCTTTTGCACGGATGGAGGGCGTGAGAGAAAGGGTAGAAATCATGATCGAGGAAGCATTCAATAAGAAGGAATGGATAAAGATGGGTCTGCCCCAGAAGCATAGAAGGCAGGAGGACGAAGTCTTAGGTGTTATGGTGGCAGAAAGGGAATCAGAAGTCGAACTCAGAGCCAGCCTGCCCAAGGGGAAAGAAGTGTGCATGGACGTGTCAGAAGTCGCACTCGAGATTCCCGATTTGTTACAGCTCATCAAGGCTATCAGATACCACAACGTAGGGGTGGACTCGGCGGCGTTGGCCAAATTCGAAGGAGAAGTGCAAAAGGGATATTGTATGAATGGAAAATTAGTCAGTATCCAACCACGAGTCGTAGAGGTGACTATGGTAATCCCGGTCGTTCATTTCTTAGGAGAAAGATCCCGGAAGGAAGTGTTCGAAAGTACAAGTCGGTAGGGAAGAAAGCAAAATCGGTCTCGATCCTGATAGAGACGTCAAAGGAAGAGGCTATGGAGAAGGAGGAGGAAGTCCTCCGAGTGATCCGAGAGAGGCGAGCAACGAAAGGGCATCGGATACCAGATGAGGTAGCTGATACAATGAAGATAGGGGTAGAGAGATTCTTAACAGAAAAAGAAAACCGCCTGATCAAAAGGACCTGCCAGGAGTTTCACCTGGCATTTGCCTTTAGTGATCACCAGAAGGGGCGGTTGGACGCGAAGCTAATTCTTCCGGTCACAATCCACACGGTAGAACATAAATGCTGGAATAACAAGGGTCCGGCCATGAATTTGGGATAGCAGGGGATGTGACCGACCTTCTTCGAGCAAAGATGGACTCCTTCATCGCAAAACCTACAACATCGCCATACGCGAACCGGTGGTTCATCTTACGGAAGCCCAACAAGATGCTGAGATGGATTCAGGATCTGCAGAAGTTGAATGCGGTAACCATCCGGGATGCTGGCTCGCTGCCTCAGGCCGATTTATTAGCAGAGTCGCACGCCGGCCGGAGCATTTACTCCCTTATAGATCTGTACTCAGGGTACGACCAACTTCCATTGGATGTTCGGGACAGGCCGTACACTGCAATGCACACCCCCGTAGGCCAGTTGCAGATGCAGGTGACCCCTATAGGCTTCACAAACGCAGTAGCCGAAGCGCAACTGAGAATGCTCGCCGTAGTCGGAGACATGTTCCCAGCGAAGTGTGAGCCCTAAATCGATGACAAGCCGATCAAAGACGCTCAAGAGAAGGACGAGACGGAAGTCCAGCCGGGAATCCAAAGATTTGTATGGGACCATCTACAGGACATCAAGGACTTACTCTGCCGGTTCCTAGTATACAACATTACGGCTAGCGGACCTAAGAGTATTCTAGCAATACCGGAAGTAACCATTCTAGGATTTCGTTGTAGCGCATACGGTAGGAAGCCAGATCCGGCAAGGACTGACAAGATATCATAGTGGCCAACACCCCTGCGCACGACAACGGAGGTAGGCGTGGTCGGCTTTTGGAGGATTTTCATTAAAAGTTTTACCAAGATTGTTGAGCGTATCCGGGCCATGATTAGAGAATAAGGGACCATGGACTGGATGGAGGAGCGAGAAGGAGCCGTACAAACCCTCAAGGACATACTGATATCGGAGCAAGTCGCCTTGTCAGCACCCTGTTTTAATGACGAAGTGGGATGACCATTCATCCTAGAAACGGATGGAGGACCCTTGGTCGTAGGAGGCGTACTGATTCAGAGAGATGAGGAGGGAAAAAAAAGGCCAATCAGGTTCGAAAGTAGAACCCTAAACTCCGCGGAACGGCAGTACTCACAGTTCAAGAAGGAGGTCATAGCCATCTTGCATTGCCTCAAGACCTTTCAGGCCTACCTATTTGGGAGGCGGTTCGTCCTAAGGATCGATACGATGAATGTCGCAGGGGCCTTAAAGAATTGCAGGCCTATAGATCCTACGGTGGGGAGATGGGAAGGATTTATCTGGCAGTTCAATTATAAGATCGAACGGATTGCTGGAATCAGAAACAAGGCCGATGGGCTGAGTCGGGTCTGCATCACTCCCGAAGAGGTGGAGGATGCGGAACCCATAGACGCATTTCTCGAATACGAAGGAGAAATGATTGCGGTGGATAACGAAATGATGGGCGAAGAATGCGCGTCGGGAGAACTGTTGATCCGGACTTTGGAGAAGGGGGCACCTGCCGTAGTAGCAGAACTTAGAGAAAGACCAGTCACCACTTGAGGTCGCAAAGAGGAGAAAAATTTGTAAGGAACGATAGTAGGACCGAAGGAGGAACTAATAACAATGGCGGTTGGGGGAGGCCGGAAAACCGTGATGAGCTTAGTGGAATCTTGGGAAAGGAAAGAGTTGCGGTGGATGGTAAACTAGATGGAGGAGAGAAAGGATGAGGACTATGAAGGGAAGGAGTTTTTCTATGCCCAGATATATGAAAGGATCTTTCGGGAGATTGGGTTGTTGTTGGTAGGAAACAAACAACCCATGGAAGTCGGCATTAAAGCAAGGGAGGAGGCCGAGAGGTATGTCCTAAGGGGCGGTCATCTGTTCCGAAGAGAGAAAGGTGCTATGCCTAGAAGAGTTGTGTGCGGGAGACCTAGGCAGTTGGACGTGATCCAGGCAATGCACGACGGACTAGCAGGAGGACATCGATCGTCCAAAGGAACTCTTGCGAAGATAACGCCACTCTATTATTGGCCAGGCATGGCAGGCATGGTCGCGTACTGTCAGACCTGCCTAATCTGCCAGGAACGGAACTCGGTACGTGTCTTCGAGTCAGTTAGACCAACGTGGGTGCTAGGGCCGGGACATCTGGTCCACCTTGACCTTGCGGTCATGCCTGTATCAACAGATCGGTACAGGTATATCCTGAATGCGCGAGACAACTTGAGTGGGTTCGTGGAGGCGGTCGCTCTCAAGAAAAGGACAGGGAGAAGTGTAGCGGACTGGATAAAGGACTTCTACTTGAGGCATCCTTTCGTCAGGAGGTTTATAGCGGACAATGAGATTGAATTTGTGAACCAAGAAGTGTTGGAAATGCTTAAGAGGCTTTGCGTACCGATCAAACTCATCGAGCCATATCACCCGAAGGCCAATGCGCCTGTGGAAAGAGGGCACCGAACCTTAAAGAACACGATTGCGAAGCTCGCAGCGAACCATCTGGGGAGCTGGCCTAGGTATCTTAAGCAAGTTGTCTTCTCAGAGAACATGACACCTAAGAGGACAACGGAATGTATCCCAACAAAACTTTGGTACGGAAAAAAAATCGACTTTCTCGTGGAAGCCTTGATACCTACCTGGAACAGGTTAGATGATGATCTGCGAGTGATCACGACAAAGTTAATCGAGGCGAGGTGTCAACAAGTCCTTAAGAACGAGGGGGTCATGGAAGACATCGCGAACCGGGTACCAGACAATAGAATGAGGGACAAAGCAAGGTGGAACCAGGTAAAGAATGTCAGAAAGGAGCCACTTCAGGTGGGGGAGACAGTATTGCTAAGAAACTCGGCACTAGAAAGTACTTGGTCTGGACAGTTGGGGAGGAGGTTCAAAGGCCCCTACCGGGTCGCCAAGCGGGTGGGATGGAACACCTTCGAACTGGAAGATCTGGATGGAACTGGATTGAAAGGACCCTTCCCGAGGCAACGATTGGTCAGGTTTCTAAGTCGGAACCCAGTGGAACAGTGGCTTCGGGAGGCCAAGGATAAGGAAACTGAGGGGCTACAAGCTAAGAACTGACAACGACCTTGCCCACACTATGGTTTTGTCTCTGACTGCGTCCGTGGGACTGCCATTTTTTTTTGGGTTGGGGCAATGTTTTGGACTGACTGAAGTTGGAAGGCAGGATGACTTGGGATTTTGCGATAATGGGTTTTTGTATGACGACGGGAAAGATTGTCGGGAGCATTGTATCATAGTTTTTGATGGGGAAATAATGGGATCATCACAAATGGGGCATTTGCATGAGAGGGGAATGTATAATAATGGCATGATGCGAAGGGTATTGGGAGCATTCTGGGGGAAGGGGAGCTGCCTACCGGACTGGGGAAACGTGTGTATGAGGGGTTTGGCGGGTGTTGTTTTGTTATACAGGACCAAGGAGAAAAACACAAGAAAATAAAAATGGAATTCGGCAACGAGAACGATAACGGGGCAATCAACCGACCTACCGGAGGGGAAGAAGTGGGACCAAGTTGAGGGAGGAGGACGAAAAAGAGAAAAATGTACATAGGGTTCATGTCCAAACAAGTGGTAGGCAGGGGTGCGAGAAAGTGCGTGTGTAGAGGGTCTTCGCCTCTCCGGAAGGGAGAAGGCATATATATCTCATCTGGGAGTGAGAGCGAGGAGGAAAGGGCAAGTGTGGGAGAAGGGGGCAAAGCGGATATGGGAAACAAGGCTTAGGCCTCTGACAAGGAAGAAGCCGAAAGTTCCGAGCAGCGTGAGTCTTGGCATGGGGAAAGCGAGGGGAGACAGGACATGTGCGATAGAAGTGGGGATAGGGAAGAAAGAAGGGAAAACCTGCATGAAGAGCGGAGCGGCCACGGTAGTTGTGAGTGGAGGTATCCAGATTTTGAAGAGGGCTATGAAAGGGGGACAGAGATTTCATATAGCTACGATCCAAAGAACTTGACGGGTGGGTATAGCCCCATATGGACGAAAGAAGAGGGGGATGAGGAGGAGAAAGTACAGGAGGTCATAGAAATCAGCAGTGGCGATGAGAGGGATGAAATCTCGAGGCCTAGAGAAGAGAGGTGGCCCCCGATACACCAGTCGCGCGAAGAGGTCTTCAGATGGGAGGATGAATTTGGACCAACGCCCAGCCATTGGTTTCAACAATGGCTCAGTGTGATAAAACATGAGTGGATTATCAAGACCCAGAAACTCGCGAAGGCAGGGATGGTGGTTATACCTTTGGATTTCTACAATGAGATGGAGTTACGAGAGATTGCAAGGAGGAGGAGAGAAATCATGGTCTCCGGCTTGGGGGTTAAAGAGCCAATAGAAAGACAGGACGAGCAAGAGAACGAGCGAGTTGAGGCACATGACAGCAATAGGGATTAGATGTTCTTGAGTGCTGGACAAGAAATTGTGATTTCTTTTTCTTGCAATTATGGGATGACTGGGTTTGTATAGTATGAGGAAGCTTGTGAGGAATGTGGGATAAAAATGACTAGCTAAGACTGAGTCACAATGGGTTAGAAGATAGCATTTTGGGGCTACTTTCTGGATGAGCTACTTTCGAAAGTGTGTAGACAAGACAATGGCACGGGGCATGGGATGAGACTGGTTGGGAACGGTGTATTGTGAACTTTGGATGGAATAAGGATTGTGCCTTTGAGAAGAAAAACTGTGCGTACAGAGTGACGAGCAAAGCAAGACGGGAATGTTGGTCAAGCACAAGAGAGGTTAGTGAACCTGTGGGTTAAGAGGCGTGAAGAATATTCCTTCCCTAGGAGCCTAATCCAACTCAGTCATAAAAATGAGTCTGAAAATAGCCAAGATCTTAATGATAAGAAAGAGTTAAAATAGAGGGGGCGCCCCTATCTTTTGCTATGGTTGAACGACTGGGTGGGCTAGTGCTGCTTGGGGTCGCGAGCCCCAACTCGAGTTCTAGACGCTAAGTCGGATGTATGCATGGATAGCAAATTGCTTTGAAAATGGATGAGGGGAACCGCACGCGAAAAACTGAAAAGAGATGGCCACCTTCTAACCTCCGAAACAGAAATGGGATCCGTGTCCTCGAGGCCCACCCCCTCGGGCGCTAACATTGAGAATGGAATAGAATGACCTTTACCAGGCTGTTCGACTTGAGAATGAGAGGGAACGACCCTAACCAGGCTGTTCAACTTGAGAATGAAAAAGAATTACCCTAACCAAGTTGTTCTTCTTGAAAATGGAAAGGAATGGCGCTAACCAGGCTGTTCGACTTGAGAATGGAAAGGAATGGTCCTAACCAGGCTGATCGATTTGAGAATGGAAAAGAATGACCCTAACCAGGTTGTTCGGAAATGGCCCTTGACAAGGGTCATTTCTTTTGAAATAGGCACTGCGGTCCCCTGCATAATTGATTAAGAAAGGTTGATTGAGAATGAGCTGGAATGAGCAATGAGAGATGAAAAAGGTCGGTGGGTCGGTCATTGACATAGCCATGAAGATGGATGAAAGAGAATGTTGCCTTGGAAAAGAGAAGGGCAGGGTAAAGAAGGTTGAGCCTTAAGTCAAGAAGGGCATAGACCGTTGGGATGGTCATAAGGAATGCATATTGGGGAACGTGAAAGTTGAGGATTGAAGGTAGGCCTGCGGGTCGGCCCTTGAAAGATGGCTATTGAGAAAGCGACCGCTTGAGCGGCCACAAGGGGTGGCCTTGTTGATGAGAGGCTGTCGGACCAGCCATGAGAATCAGTCATGAGAATCAGCCTTGGAAATAACATTGGATTGAGTGTTTGAGAATTGGATACTGCATGGATAGTCAGGGGACCCTAGGCAATTTGATGAAAGGTCGTCGAGCCAACCATGGAAATGGCAAGAGATTGAGTTTTTCGTTTTTTCTAGTCTCATGTCTCAACATAATGGGGATAGCGATGCATGCATCGCGACCCCAGGACCTCTACCCGTCAAGGGAAAAGTCTCAGCGCAACCTATTCCTCATAAGACAACGAGCTCTAGTCGGGGAGTTTGAACGGCGCCTCATGTTGAGAACCTAAACGTCAAGGGCATGGAGCCAAACGGGCGAGAGAGCCATTTTTTTTCCTAAGTCTCATTTTTTTATCCCCAACCACACGCCATGTCGTAGAGGGGGGGCGCGGCCGTTTGGAATGGACCAAGGCTACTCACATTAAGTTGAGTGGCACTGTCCTGAGGGAGGGGTCAGGCGTGGTACCGGGTGGAAGCCGCAACCACCACAGAGCGAGTGACACCACCCTGCCGGATCATTACAACCGTTCCTGGACTAACCGCGAGGTCTTCGTAACTGCACTCGCAGATAATAGAGAGCCCCAACTCTCTTGAAAGGAAGGGGTCGGGTCCAAGAAAACACCACTCGGGAAGAACGATTCGCGAGAAAGTCTTTACGGCAAGACGGGGTCCTGGGAGGTTTGGACTCGACCTACCTGTCGGATGTGAGGTGGTACCTCAACAATGACGTCTGTCTCGTAACGACAAAAGGTCGGACTAAATAGAAGGATGAGGTGTTACCTACCGAGGAAGGACTGATCGCGCTTCCTTCTAGGAGCAGGTGGGCCGTTGTTCTTGACTCAATTGTTGGGCCAAGGTCTGCGTACCCTCTGAGTGCGAACCAGTCGTGCGATAGGGACATCACATTTTTAGTGGGGGGAAGGTGTGTCATCTACCAATGAGAAGGCGTGCAAACGATAAGGATACCATGTCCAGAAGAGAAATGCAAGTATAATTGACTTTGCGCAGGCTTGAGAAAAAAAAGGTCTGGCAAGATGTCCAGAAGATAAATGTATGGGTAATT